TTATACTATCCTAACCTATGGATTTATGTTTTTTTTTGATTCACTTGTTCTTACATCTAACTATTATCTATACATATATTCTAACCTAACCTGTTCTAATGTATTTTGTTTTATTAACATTACTTTTCATATCAAAATGTTCTTCATAAAATATCAATTATCCTAAATTACAGTTTTTTGTTTAATTATATTTTAAGTTGTATAAAGTTTGATTAATTACAAATCTTAACTAAATACATTTGTTTTAATTAGACTATAATAATATTATCTAAACTATATTAAGAAAATCCTACTTATCCAAAAAATAACAACTTAAGCATAGCATTCATTATATAATACAGATTTTATGTTTTCTTTGTGATTCACATGTTCTTAACTTATTATAACCTATATCATAATATTCTAACCTAACCTTTACTTACCGTTCCGAACCTAAGTTTTAATAACGTACGGCCATGGATTTCATATTGTTTTGTGATTCAAATGTTCTTACAGATCCTAACCTTGCCATACAATCATATTCTAACCTAACCTGTTCTAATGTATTTTGTTTTATTAACATTACTTTTCATATCAAAATGTTCTTCATAAAATATCAATTATCCTAAATTACAGTTTTTTGTTTAATTATATTTTAAGTTGTATAAAGTTTGATTAATTACAAATCTTAACTAAAACATTTGTTTTAATTAGACTATAATAATATTATCTAAACTATATTAAGAAAATCCTACTTATCCAAAAAATAACAACTTAAGCATAGCATTCATTATATAATACAGATTTTATGTTTTCTTTGTGATTCACATGTTCTTAACTTATTATAACCTATATCATAATATTCTAACCTAACCTTTACTTACCGTTCCGAACCTAAGTTTTAATAACGTACGGCCATGGATTTCATATTGTTTTGTGATTCAAATGTTCTTACAGATCCTAACCTTTCTCATGCCATACAATCATATTCTAACCTAACCTGTTCTAATGTATTTTGGTTTATTAACATTACTTTTCATATCAAAAAGTTCTTCATAAAATATCAATTATCCTAAATTATAGTTTTTTGTTTAATTATATTTTAAGTTGTATAAAGTTTGATTAATTACAAATCTTAACTAAATACATTTGTTTTAATTAGACTATAATAATATTATCTAAACTATATTAAGAAAATCCTACTTATCCAAACAATAACAACTTAAGCATAACATTCATTATATAATACAGATTTCATGTTTTCTTTGTGACCTAAGTTTTAATAACGTACGCCCATGGATTTCATATTGTTTTGTTATTCAAATGTTCTTACCGATCCTAACCTATCTCATGCCATACAATCATATTGCAACCTAACCTGTTCTAATGTATTTTGTTTTATTAACATTAATTTTCATATCAAAAAGTTCTTCATAAAATATCAAATATCCTAAATTAAAATTTTTGCTTAATTATATTTTAAGTTTGATTAATTATAAATCTTAACTAAAGACATTTGGGTTAATTAGACTATAATAATATTATCTAAACTATATTAACAAAATCCTACTTATCTAAACAACAACAACTTAAGCATAACATTCATTATATAATACAGTTGAATTTAAGATATTTACATTTCAATGAATTAAGTTCTATTCATTGAAGCAAATGATTGATCCATTAAATCCATAATAAAATTTGATCCGCTCAGTAAAACCATCAACTTTTCCCCGTTACATAAACTATTCTCACGTGTTTCGCTCAACTAAAATACTTACCAATTGTCTACTCTTATTATCTAATAAAAAAATACAAATGTCATGCGTACGTATTAATTAAAAAAAAGTAATAATAAGGAAATAACAAAGAAACCAGTTTCTAATAATAACTTTCTATTGTTCGAAGAATTCGTCCTATTTTTGTGTATCTGTGTTTCGTTTTGTTTCACTTCTTGGATCGTTGGTATGTGTAGGTAAAAGTTGACGTCGCGGGTGTTCGGAAAACAAAGAGAGAAAAAGAAAAAGCGGACACAAAGATTCGACTGAGTAAAGTTCAACGTTTAAAAAGATCACAGCACCACTATTTCAATATGAATGTTATCTATTCGTCTCTATTCCTTCAGTTGTTTTTTTTTGTTTGTTTGTTTGTTTTCATTTTCAAAACAACAAACAATACATTTGGAAATATGTGCAATGCAATGAACGAATCTTGTGTTCGTTTATCTGCATATTCTGTTATGCAATTTTCTTACCTTAGTTCAGAGATTAAAAAATTATGTTTAAATTTCTGGTTTTAGCAAATATTTTTTTTAACAAGTTTAGATATTGAATATTGTGTATAAATTTGTGAAATAGCAATAATTTATTATTAAGTTTTGGGAATCACCAATTTCTTTCGTTAAAATTTGTAACTTTTGAGTTAAAAAGTTTAATTTTTGAATCTGTTTTTGAACGATTACGAAATTAGTATCATTAATTGTACAGTAAAAAGTATCAATTATAATAAATATTTACTGAATAGAGATTTATTATGTAATTAAAAAAAGTAAAATGGAATTATGCGAGTGATAGAAATAGTAATGATATTAAGAGGAAACCAATAAATATGAGAAAGACGCAATAAAAAAATCATCGACAAATGGCTTCGAAACATAGTAAAGTGCGAAGGATTTATGACCTGTTAGAAGTTATTGTTCTTTCTAATAATAAATATCATTTGCATACGAATCAAGTATGCAGTTAAACGCGGTGAGCAACACTTTTACCAATAAATAAGTAGCAGACTTCAATCAATTATTTTATTTTTCCA